ACCCAGGTGCCAACAAAATCTGAATGGAGAACTTGAACTACTTCTGCCTGGCAGCAAAGACGTGGCCACTTCTCTTCCCACTGGAGTAGCGTTGGAAGGCCTGACATGACTCAGGAATTAAATAAGATCCAGATTCCATAATGCAAGACCTAAGTCCCTATGTTTCAATGGAAAAAAATCACTTGTCACACTATGAAGTACGAAAATACCAAGCTGAAGGCCAGGGGTGTAGCTCAGTAGTAGAGTGCTTGACCAGCAGGCGTGCGGCTCTGAATGAAACCCAGCACCACAAAAGCAACATCAAAAACCAACTCACCTTCAATGAGAAAAGGCAATACTGATGTCAAATTACCTAAAAAATATTTTAAAGGAACTCATAAAACTATCTATTGCAAACACTCTTGAAATAAATAAATAAAGGGCTGGGGATTTAGCTCAGCGGTTTGGTGGCCTGCCTTGCAAGCCCAAAGACCTGAGTTCAATCCCCGGTACCAAAAAAAATAAAAATAAAAAAAAATAAATAAATGAAAAGGGAGAAAAACTCACTAAACAAAGAAAGACAAGCCAAATGGAAATTTTATTTTATTTTTCCCAAATGGAAATTTTAGCACTTGAGATACAGTCACTGAAATGGGCTCAAAAGCAGAAGCGAAGAAAACACAGGGGAAAACCAGTGAACTTGAAAAAAGAACAATATAACCCAGTTTAGACAACAGAGAAAAAATAGACTGAATAGAAGTAAATAGAGTTTCAGGGTCCTGTAGTTAAAAATGGGATCTCAGAATGAAAGGGAAAAAGCATGAAGCTGAAAAAGAACTCCAAAGAAATAACTTTTAAAATGTCCCAAATTTGGCAAAAACCATCAACCTAGACTTGAGTGGAGGCCCAAACAGGATAAACCCAAAGAAATCTAAACTGGGCATGGTGGCACATGCCTGTAATCCCAGCACTTGGGAGGCTGAAGCAGGAAGATTACCTGGACCAGCCTGGGCTACATAGTGAGTTCCAGGCAGTCTCAACTACACAGTGAGACTCTGTCTCAAAAAAACCAAAAAAAAAAAAAAAAAAAAAAAAAAAAAAA